GGCATGGATGTAGGGACCGGAATCTGAGGGCCAGTGCTCCCAGGGAGAGTGGACATGCTGGCTGGCTAAGGTCTGCATCTCACAGCATCGAGGGGCCTGTGAGTCACTCGCCCATAAACACCCCCCTCTTCCCCACATGCTGAGAGTTATTTTCAGAGCACTCTGAATCCCTCCAGCATTGTCACTTAGCTTCCCCTCCCTTACAGACTAAATCAGGCGGCCTGGCCCCTCCTGAGCTGAGCTGGCTCAGCATCCATCGCCCCCTCCGGCACTGTCCCCCAGTGGGCGGGGCCATGTGAGTCAGTCTAAGGCAGCAGTCTCAGAGGAGCGGGAGGCTGCTCAGGTCGGCTTTGTGCAGCAGGCACTGTGCTGGTGTGAGGAGGGGTGAAGACAGGCGCTTCCCTTCTGACTTGGCAGTGGGCTGGGGCTCCTCCCCACCCCCACACCAGTCCTCCTTTTGTGCCGTTTAAATATTTGCAGGTGGAGAGAAGGCAGGAAAGTGCGACTGGTTTCTGAATGGTTGCAGGGTGGAGCAGACAAGTCCTCAAGAGGCCTGACAATGAGGGGTGGGCGGGGCCACTGCCATTTACAGATGGGAAAGGTGTCCAGCACCAGGCAGGTAGTGGGTAGCTTGGGAGTCGGCCCCAGGTTGGTGACTGCACGTTCTGGGCCTTCTAAGCCAGTTCCGAAAGGAGAGGGCGCCTGATCACAAGGGAAGCAGGCAGCAGTTGCTGCTCAGAGGGATAAAAGCTCCTGGCACTTTGACCTTTGAGATCCACCTGAAAGGCCCCAAGGCCCCCACACGGGGTTGTTAGCAGTCACAGCTGGGCCACCCAGAGCTTATAACCCCCCAGTTTGGTGCTTCAGTCCCCAAGTTGGGAGAGCTGTGGAACTCTTCCCCAGGTTTCCCAGCACTTGGGATTTCAAAGGGCCTGGCCAGCATGGGCAGGGCTGGAGAGGGAGCTGTTAAGGCAAACTGTCAGTCAGGCAGCTCTGGGCTCCAGTTCTGACTGCGCCTTCTGGTGTGTGCTTAGGGACAGTCGCGTAAACTTGGAGCCTGAGTCCTCCATCTCTAAAATTGAGCTTAACTAAGCTATTCTCCACAAGCACCTGCACATAGTAGGTGCTCGGTAAGCATTTTCTGATATTCAAAACTGGGAAGCAGCAGAAGCTTTGATTCCAAATGACCCCCAGGTTTGGCTGCGAGACGAAGTATTTGTTAGGACAAAGCCTTGGGTTAGAATCCTGCCCCCTCTGCACCACCTCGTCTCCCTGTGCCGCCTTTCCCCCATCTGTGAATTGGGAATTATTTGATGAGCTGCCACGTTAGGGTTGTTGTCAGTGCCCAAAGAAAAGGAAAGTGGGCTTTAGCCCCTGCTGCGTGCCACCCTCACCACATGGAAGCGGTTCCATTTTATGGGAGAGGAAGCGGGCACCCCCAAAGGGGCTTGACCAGGCTCACCCAGGATGTGTGGCCGAGCCGGGACTGCAGGTCTGTGAGGCTCTGAGGCCGCCCCACGGCAGCCACGGCCTTGTGCTGCCCAGGCGTGCCCCCTGCTCCTGGAGCCCAAGCTGATAAAAACACACAGGCTGCAATAAGCCAGGATGCCCCCGTCTCCGGCCCGCCGGCGGTCTCTCCAGTCCGTCCACCTGCACAGTGAACCAAGCCCGAGCCAGGGTCTGGGAGCCTGGGAGGGGAAGGAAGCTGTGCGGAAGCCCAGCCGGCCTCCTGTGGCTGTCCAGCCGCCTGCCCTGCCCGTGGGAAGTGTGACCTGGGGTGGGTCCCCTGGCAGGAGTGGGCCGCAACCTCGTTCCTGCAGCAGGCAGTACTGGGCTGCCAGAGCCCCGTTGCCTTTGCAATTTCCTCTCCTGGCTTCCAGCCTGTTATTAGCTTCTGGGGAGATGTTCTTGCCCGCAGCTGGAGCTCACAGCTGGGAGCCAGGAGGTAGGGGAAGTCCTCATTCGCTGGGGCGCTTCCCTCAGGCCCAGAACTATATCCTGGGTGCCTGGTGCCACAGTTCCCCACCCCCAGCCCCGCTCCTCCTGCTTGGACACCATCCCAGGACAGGAGGCCTGGCAGCCTACTTCGGGCTGTGTGACCTTGGGTGGGGGGGCTCCCCTTCCAAATTGCAGGATCCAAAGCTATAAACAGTCTCTCTGCTGCAGTCTGGACTCAGGACAATACATGTGTATAGTTAGAGAGCCTATCGGAAACAGATGGTTCTCCCAAACTAAGTGCATTAAGGTGAATTTAATAAAGGGGCTGGTGACCAAGGGGGCGGGAAGGGTGCACACCCGTGGCTGTTGGCTGTGGTGGACCAAGGACCAGAACTGTTAACTCCAGACATGACAGGGGGTAGAAGGGAGAAGCCACCCAGAGGGATGGCTGTGTGGGGAGTGGCCCACACAGGAGCTGTGACTTGTAGATTTCAGGACAGTTCCAGGAGAGACTGGAACATGGGCGAGGGTTATTTGGGCCAGAGAAGGAGATGTGGCAGCACACTGGATAGTTTTTGATGACAGAAGCAACAGATTTTACTGACTCTATACGTTGGTACTAGATAAAGGAATTTACCCAGCATCCTGCAGCTACGGCGTGACTGAGCCAGGGTGCGAGTGCAGGCCTGTCTGGCCCCAGTTCTGAACTCCTAAGTAACCACTGTGCTTTTTTTAATGTACTCCTGACCCCACTACCTGGATGCCCCCTCTTCATACCTGCCCCCAGTTCACAGCCATTACTGACCAGCCCCAGCCCACTTCCTCTGTCCCTCTGATCTCAAAGAGTGTCCAGGCCTCAATGTGTGAGACCTCTTCTGGTAGGTTCTCAGGCATGAGGCTATAGGCCAGCATCATGATGTCCTGCCTCAGGGGAGCAAAAGAGGGAGGTGGGCACCTGGGAGCAGAGCAGGTATGCAAATGCTTTGGGACTGCAGGCTTGACTGAACATTGGAGAAGTTGCCCCACCCCTGGAGACAGACCTGGGTTCAAGCCCCAGTCCCCACCCTTTTGTGGGATCCTGGGCAGGCTATACTGCCTTTCTGTGCCTTTATTTCCCTTCTTGACAAATGGAGATAATAATGCTGTGTTCTCTTTATCCTGAACCTGGTGACATAAAAGCACTTTTTCAGCTAAAATTTTCTACCAAAGCAGGTGACCATGATCCTTCAAGCCATTGACATCTCAAACAGAAGAACCCCATCGAGCACAGAACATAGAGAGACATAGATTGCTCATCACACAAGGTCCCCAACAAGCAGGGAGGACAGATGCTGATGAAATCATCATAAATTTGATGGGCAGCAAAAGGAGTCACTATGGAAACCCAAGCAGGAGAACTGAATATCCTGAATGGGTGATGTTTCCACCAGGGTCAGGACAACTGTAAAAGGAGGCCAGGGAGGCTTTCAGAGGGCGATGACACAACAGCTAACATTTGTTACTGGCACACTGACCAGGCTTTGTGCCCAGCACATGGTGTACGCTGCCTTATCGGTTCCTCCCATTGCTCCTATGGGCAAGTACTTTTCCTATAAACCCTTTAGCCAATGAGACAGCTTAGGTTCAGAAACATGATGATATTTGAGGAAGCAGTCATAAGCCAGAAGGGACAGAATATGGCATCTGGAGCCAAGATGGGGGGGGGGGACCTATTTTCAGTTGAGATCGCAGCTCTACTGCCTCCGAGTTTCTGTATCTTGAAATGGGGTTAATTCCTTGGGCCTGGTAGACCTGGAAATGGAGCCGGAAAGCCGAGCTTGGATCTTGCCTAGTGGGTTGGGAGCTGTCCACAGGGCTAGTGCTGACTTGGTTGCGTGGGCAGGATTGCTGTACCAGCTGTAGGGCAGGTGCTGCCATATGTTCTTCCAGACAACGTGGCCAGGGGCATTCAAAGTTTTGTCTTTCCCTCTGCGAATCCTCAGAGAGAAGGAGACAGGAACATTTATTCAGAAGAGGCTGCGCTTGCTCTCAGTAGGGTGCATTGACGTGTTTGCCTGCATGAAGCTGGTGAGCCACGGGGCAACTGGCAAGGCAGCAGGGGCCTGTAGGCTGGGCAGGAGGATTCTCAGCTTTACTCCCTTCATCCCTACGTGATGTATGATGTAGCCTGGGATTGGCCCTTGAGATGTTTCAAACTCAAAATGGGGAAACTGAGGCACAGAGGGGAGAAACTCTTAAACACCAGGACTCTGGGCAGAGTGGTGCCCTGAATCTAGTGAGAAGAAGGGTGTTCAGGACAACAGAGGATTAGCCATGAGCCGAGGCACGCTGCCCTTTCACACTGGCCCCCTGCCTGGCACATTGGCGGTGCGCAGGAAACACCTGCTGAGTGAGCGTGGCAACAAGAGCTCCCCACCTGGACAGGCAGCCCAGCTGGAGTCCATCTCCACTCTGGCCTCACACTGCTCTCTGGGCAGGTGGCTTCAGCCCACCGAGCCTCCATTGCCCAGTAGTAGATCATAATTCCAGCTGGCAGGTACCTGAGCAGAGATTTGAATCCAGGTGTACCAGACTCCAGGACTGATTTTTCACATGTCACCCTCCTAATTGTTTTCTGTATCTGTGGCACTCATTCATTATACTTTTTAGAAAGTAGCTACTTAGCACCCACCAGATACAAGGTACTGTTTAGTCTCTGTGGACAGAGCAGTGAGTAAGGCCCCTGTCCTCAGGGAGCTTATATTCTAGAAGAGGGAGACAGTGAGCAGTAGACCAGAAATAGCTGTAAGGACTCTGATGGGGGAGGGTTGGGGTGGTAGTGGGGTAGTCAGAGGCTCTGAGCAGCAGCCCCGTTGCAGCATCCGAGACGGCGCTCAAGTGAAACGTGTGGTGTGGAGGTGGCCGGGCACATGCCTCCCAGGTAGGACTCAGGGAGGGGAGTGGGAGGAAAGCAGCCATCAAGACATCCCAGCCGCTGAGACCCTGGGAAGCCATGCAGCGCTTTGGGGAGTCCCTCCCCGGGTTCCACTTGGGTCTTCCGCTCTGCTACCTCTGTCTTCCAGGTAAAGCAGATCATGGAGGAGGCTGTCACTCGCAAGTTTGTCCACGAAGACAGCAGCCACATCATCTCCTTTTGCGGTGAGTCCGCGACCAGGGCCTGGAAGCTGGCTTCAGGCTGGGCGCCTTGCTCTTGGGCGTTGGGCCTTTGAGCCAGGGCTTCCTAATCTGTTTTTGGCTTTGTAAACCCAGAGTTGTTTTTGGATTGCCAAGGGACTCCATTAGTGAATTTGACAATAAATGAAAGTCTAGAGGAGAAATTAAGATGGAGTGGTAACCCCAGAAAAAGAAGCCGCCTTCCCCACCTGTGGCCTCAGTCCATACCCACCACAGGGCAGGTGACAGACGGCTCTGTATCCTTCTGCACTCTGCCTCGGGCTGTTGCCAGGTAAAGGGGAAGTTGGGTGGGGCCTTAATACATACAGGGAATTAACAGCCATTGACACCTCCTGTGTGGTCATGTCCAGCCGGCAAGCAAAAGAGGCAAGCCTAGGACTTGAAGCCTAACTCAGACTTCTCCTCTGGAAGCAGCTCTGCTCACAGGACTCCACAAATAACCCTGCTGCCCAGTTCTCACTGTTCTTGCTCAGCGGCTAGAGAGGAGCGTTTGGGGTGTTCCGCAAGGCCAGGACTTGGCTCGTAACCAGTGTGAGCAGTTAAGTGGGAGGGTTTCTCTTTGAAAACTTTGCTTTTTAAGGTTTTTATTTATTTTTGTGTAGAAGAACTGGGGTGCAGGCCAAAGGTGAGGAGAGGTGAGAAGATCCACTAGAGACAAAGTGGGGAACAGAACAGGCGGATTGACAGAAATACACTGTGGAGGGGAGCAGTGGGGAGACAGCAGAGATCTGCTGCACCCTGTGGGTCACTGGTCAGGACCGAGCTCACTTTTTGGGTAAACCTTGACTTACTCCTGTTGTATATGGCTAAGCGCCCAGTCTGCTGTGTGAAAGGGGATAAGAATAAGCTCAGTAGAGGGCTCTGACAGGGGCCAGAAATAACATAAGAGCCAACAAAATGGCCTGCACAAGTCCCTTTCTGAGAAGGGCCCACTGAGGCACAGAGAGGGAAAGTGATTTACCTGAGGCCACACAGCAAGTTTGCTGGAGAACCCAGGCTCCACCTCAGTTGTCCTGCTTGAGAAAAGGTGGACAGTCTCAAGGGGGAACACTGAATGGGAAATAGTGGCTGAATCCTCCCTTCGAAGGTCCTCTGTGAAACATGTGTTGTGCACACACCTTGGGCTTAGGCCTGGGTTTGAGTCGTAGCTCTAGCTCTTATTGCTGGGTGACACCAAACATTTCTGTTCACCTTTTGGAGACTCAGTTTCCACATCTGAAAAATGGGACTGTCATCCCTTTCTTCCCCATCTGGGGTGGAGGATGAATGGGACCCATAAATCTTAGCTGTTACCGGACTCCTGTAGGAAGGAGGTGACAGCAATGCACCGTGAGAATTGCGTGGCCCCACCCTGTGCCGTGGGCTTTCGTGCACGTCCACCTATGTGGCCTATGAAGTTAGTGGCCATACTGCCCCCATTTCACAGACAAACACTAATTATGCTCCCATGGTTTACAAGTATGAGGCAAGGAGCCTGAAGCACTGGAGGAGGAAGCCATTGGCCATGTCCCCAGCCGGTCATTGACTGGGAGATGTCTGACCTTGGGTGGCGAGGGGTGGCAGGTAGCCATGCATACACGCTTCCTCACGATGTGGTCAGGAATTGAGTGGCTCGGGGGCCCCTGGACCATCAGGGTGCCTGTGTGTGGCCAAAGCTCCGAGCTGGGCTGGGCGGCAGGAGCACGGGCAGGGCAGGCCTGCTGACCTCCGTGTCTCCACAGCGGCGGTGGAGTCCTGCGTCCTGCACGGGCTGCGGCGGCGGGCAGCGGGCTTCCTGCGCAGCAACAAGATCGCAGCTCTCTTCATGAAGGTGGGCAAGAGCTTCCCACCAGCCGAGGAGCTGAGCCGCAAGGTCCAGGACTTAGAGCAGCTGATCGAGAGCGCGTGAGTGTGGTGCATGGGGTGCAGGCGGTGGCGGTCCCGGGGAGGAGTCCATGCTGCCTGCAGAGCCTGTGAGACTCTGGGACTCTCCTGCTTCCGGCTTCTCGAAACCCACCAGACTCCTTCCCACCCAGGGCCTTTGTGTGTGCTATCCCTGAACCCTGTTCACACCCCTCAGCTTCCATGACCAGCTCCTTGTCTTCCCTCCGTCATACCCAGCCATCACCCCACTTCCCTTGCGTATCATCTTGTTTGTTTTCTTCCAACTTGTTATTTCTGTCTAATTATTCACTCATTTGTTTCCTTGATTGCCTGTCTCCCCCACTTAACTCTAAGCTCTGGGAGATCACACCTGTATTCCCTGTTATGTCCCCGTATCTGGAACAGTGCCCAACATCTGGGCCAATAACCAAGAAACAATTATTGAATTAATGCGTGACTGCTGTGAGCCAAGCCCTGTGCTGAAAAGCCCAAACTTTAATGAAACTGATACGGCCACTATCTATATGGACCAGATGCTGGGGCTCCAGTTAAGCCCCACATTGAGGCCACCAGTCAAGGGGAGGGGCGGCCTCACTAGTTCCTCTTAGCAGATGACGGTATATGTATGTTCCTGGAAGGCTCGTGGGCTGAGTGTGTGTTCATGAGCGCCTCCCCCGGTGTCACCCCCTAGGGCCCCAGCTGCACAGCCAAACCCCCAGCCCAGAGCCTGGTCTGGGACGGCAAATAGGTTTCAACCCCAGTTGGTGTGGGCAGCTGTCGAGAAAGATCCTGGCGCTTCAGTAGGGCTTTCTGTGCATGGATTGACCTGCCGTGTCTGTTGCGAGTTAGGGAAGGGGAAGGAGCGATGCTTGCTGCCTGCTCTGCCATGTGTGCTCATTCCACTGCACCAGCAAGGGTCCTCCGCTGCTGCTGCTGGCCAGAGGGGCATGGTATCACTGGGTTTCGCATTGCCAGTGCCCCTTGGGATCTGACTCCTAAGCCCCTTGGTCTTCAAGTTCATTCTGGTCCATGTGCTAAATTCCCAGCTGCTGCTGGAGCTTCTGAAGGAGATTCATTTCCATAGGCCTTTGTTGGAGACCAGCTCCAACTTTTGAGGTGTCTGGAGGCAACACAGGCAGGACCCTAAGATGCGAAGGGGTTGGGGTGGAGATTCCAAGTGGGAAGAGGAGCAGGCTCGAGGAAGACAGGGGAGTCAGGGTTGGGTGCAAGTCTTCCTGCTCTGCCTTCAGCAGAGGTTTATTTTATACATTTCAAGTGGGCAGGGGGATGACATTAGCATATGAAAGGGGCTGAGATCACAATCACCTTTTTTCTAAGAATAGTCTGGGGTCCTTTTGACCTTTACTTGAGATTATAACATTCTAAAATCAATCAAGGTTAAAAACAGGTACATAGGTGCATAAAGTTTAAGACTAATATTACTATAGTGAAGATTAATTAAAATAAAATCCCTTAAACCTTATCTACTACTTGATGGGGTTTTTTTTCTACCTGAGACATCCTGGGAGGCAGGAAGAGGAAATTTCTTGCAAATCAAATTTCAGAAGTTCTTTGAAGAAACTTGCTAAAAGGTTTTAAGTGAGTTTCCTTGAGGTCTAGACAGTAGAAGGCATAATTTGCTCAAAATAGGAGACATAGGTGAATTTCCTTATCTAAAGACTAGATAGTAGAATCCTGAAAGACTAGCCAGAAGACTTTTGTGGATTGCTTTGAAATGTAGAAGGTAAAAAACCTGACTAGTTCTAAAACAGGCAACCTGGATGAATTTCTACATCTAAAGAAAGGCCAGACAGTAAGAAGTTTGAGTAATTCTGTAGAAGCTGAATGGAAGGCTAGGTGAGATAGTAGAGTGATAAGATTTGGGTTTCCTCCATCCCGCAATGAGAGAGACTTTGCAGAAACAGCCCTTTTGCTTTTATTCATCAGCCAGTTGTCAAGTAACTTTTGACTTCAGAGGAATTTCTCACCCTGGTGCAGTGCTTGCTTGTCAGGGCAGGCAGGCCTTGTGCGGCTGAGGCAATCCAATTGTAAGCTGAAGGTTACTCAGAATATTTTGATATTACGATTATACAAAAAAGGGAGGTCATAACATAAGTTAGCAGTGGAAAGTCTGATTTTTCAGAGCAATTCCTCTCCATCCGTACCGTGTCTGATGACAGAGGTTGCATAGCTTGTGTCAGGCCTTCTGTAATATTTGGGGGCGGGGGGCACTAGAGGCGCGCATGCCGGGGTGAAGGAGAGGCATGCATTTAGTCATGCAGCCACTCAATCATGAACATGTAGACGGGGCCCTCCTCTGTGCCAGGTGCTCTGGTAGGCCCTGGAGATTCAGCAACGAAGAGGGCCCTTGCTTGCCACGTGGTAGACTGTTTTATTAGAAAAACAGTTGAATTGTTTAGTTCCTGCTTTCAAGATCCTAGCATGGAGAAGAAGACAGAAAAATGAGCAGGAAGTTAAGCAACAGTGACTCCGGGAGCACAGAGAAGGGGCTCTTCCCCCAGTTCTGGAAGATCTAAGAGGGCTTCCTTTAGGAGGAGACCCCTCAGCCAAGACCTAAAGTGAGAAGTTGGTCAGCCTGGGGATGGGGTGAAAAGGGAAACTAAGCAGAGACAGAAACTTATGGAAGTGCTCACATGAGCACAGGAATCTGCAGATGTTTCTGTCTGGCTGGATCATGGGGTGGGGGTGCAGGGAGAGGTAAGGAGATGACTGGAGAGGTAACCAGGACCAAGGTCCAGGATGCTGCCTTCATGTTAAAGAGCTGTCCTCAACAGTGGCGCATTGTGGGATCATAACCTGAGACTTCTCTTGCCTGGGCCCCACTCCAGCAGAGAGCGGATGGGGAAGGCAGAGGAGACACCAGTATGAGAATCCGGCTTCCCCACCTACTGTGTGTAAAAGGCTGTTTACCACATCCCCGCACTCACCAGTTACTCTTTTCAACTCTTTGCCCCGTGGCTAGAAGCAGTGTGGGCCCTTTTACTTTAATTGCTGTTCCTTCATTTCCTGCAGAGGTTGGGTATTTTCCCAATGGCTTGTTGGTCCTGTTGGATTTCCTGTTTTGTGATCATCTCTGTTCTCCTTTCTTGATCTTGAAGGAGAAACCAGATCCAGGGCCTCCAGGAAAATGTGCGGAAGCTGCCGAAACTTCCCAACCTGTCCCCACTTGCCATCAAACACCTGTGGATCCGTACAGCCTTGTTTGAGAAGGTCCTGGACAAAATCGTGCATTATCTTGTGGAAAACAGCAGGTAGGCTGACTGGACAGCTGGGTGTGCTCTGCCTCCCTCTGCTGGCCCTCGTGAGAATTGCACCCTTTGCAGGAAGCTGCTTTCCTTCTCCCTGGTTATGCGCTTGATCTGAAAGTGATCCAAGTCTGGGCTTTTGACTGTGAGCTAGCATAGTTTAGAACCTCGGAGACACTCAAGTATTTAATAGGATCTTCTGGTTTATGGTGGAGTATAGGGATATTGAGTTCTTAGTGATCTTCTATGAACTGAGCTCACAATCAGTATACTGTCTTTAACTGTATGATCCTAAGGGAATCACTGAATTCTCTGTGCCTATCTTGTCTTTCTTAGCAGATAGGATGGGGATTTCTGCAACCCCAGAGTTGAGGTAGCAAGTACTTGGGATTTTGGACCTATGTTTTGATACTTTTTACAATTTCTCGCCTAGCTCAGATTAACCGGTTATAAAGGTCTTATTGTGTATGTGCCCTCTTGGTAAATATTCATTCATTCATCCAATATTTAAAGAGCATTGCTATGTGCCAAGCACTAACCTAACTCTTGGAGATATGTTGGTCTTGGCTGTTATGCCAAGAGCAGTGGGAAGCCACTGAGTAGTATTTAATGGGCCTCCAAAAGAGGCCCATGAATCTCTCCATCTTTCAGTGCCTGTTTAATCCCTTCTTCACACAAGGCATAATTATTTTTTCATTTTGCCATCTATTAGGGAATATATATGAAAGTCCAGAAAAAAACCTCCCCTACTGAAGCTCGCATTCTAGCAGGGAAATGGGCAAAGCACCGACAGCATGAGACGTGTGTCCCCAGGTGGACGGGTGTGTCCCGTCTCCGCTGCGCGGTCGGGAAACTGTCCTGGGAGACATGACAAGTAAGCTACCATTTGAGGGCCTCCCTGGTGGCCTAGGAGTTGAGTCTCAGTGCTCTTATTGCTGTGGCCTGAGTTTGATCCCCAGCCAGAGAGCTGACCCCACATAGGGTGCAGCAGACCTCTCCTGTCCTCCCCTCAGCAGTGTATCTCAGTAGATCTGTCTGTTCTGATCCCCACTTTTGTCTCTGGTGAATACCCTCACCCTTTGCATCTCTGACTTGTACCCCACTTCTTGTATGCATTAAAAAAGAAATAATAATTGTTTTTAAAAGCTTGCACTTGAAGCCGGTATAGACAAATGAAAGGGGGAAAGGGATCCTTGGGGGACAGCAGATGCAGAGGCCTGGACATAGAAAGGAAGCAGGAAGAAATGAGCTCTGAAGCTCTAGCTAACCTCTTCAGCCTTCTGGTAAATTGTACCTTGTCTCTACCCCCTGTCCTGTCATGGTTTGGCATCTTTTTAGTTATTGACTTTAATGTGTGACCTTGGGTTTTCCTGCTGAACAGGTTGGTCAAGAGGGTTCAGTCATTTATCTGAGCAGCAATGCCAACCTGCTCGCTCTTCATTAAACCTTTATATTTTGAATTTTAGAGTCAGGCACAGTTATAAAATAAATAGAAGTTCTTGTCTGTCCTCTATGATAGCATTATGTATAACAACAATGAAAGTTGAATACTAGGAAATTGCCGTTGATACAATGCTGTTAACAAAACTACCGACTTTATTTGGATTTTGCCAGGTTTTGCATGTGCTCTTTCCTCTATAGTTGTATTAATTTTTACAAATGTACTGGGAAATGTATACAAATGTGGTGTGACAGCACAGTCAGGACACAGAACTATTCCAGAGAAATCATGATGCTCAGGAAGCCCCCGAGGGCTTCCCTTTGTAGTCAAGGCTGCTCCCACCTCTACCTGCGGTTTCTAAGGCAGCACCTCCTAGCTTTCCGACCAGGTGGCTGCTGACTCTTAGAGGGGAGCCAAGCGGCTGCGTGTAAAGTATCTGGAAGCATCGCCTGCAGATCTGCCCCCACGACATGCCATCGGTGTGAGCGCTTCCAGTCGTGTTGGCCCTGGGCCACCCAGTATTCTGGTCCATGGAAAATCCCCTCAGGGTAAAATTACAGAGATGTGGCCACCATTTATTGAGAACTTCCCGGCTTTGGTTCTGTGCTTCTTGGAGGTCAACGTTGATTTTTCCCAAAAGCCCAGGCAAGCGGTATCTGCCACCCTTTCCATTTTATAAAATTCAGAGGGGCCAACCACCTGCCCAGGGAGGAGGGGGGTAGCCGAGCTGAGGTCCCACTCAGTCTTCCTCCCTCCAGATCCTGTGCCCCTCACTCTTCCCTGCTGTGGCTGGGGAGGGCCAGTCTGAGCGACGGTAGCCCTCATCCATGGCTTTGTGACCCCCCCGCAAGTCACTAACCCTCTCAGCCAGAGATTTCCTGGCCTCTCTGACTCTGAAATCGGCTACTTTCTGGACTGTATGAGTTTTCAAGGAAGTATAAAGCACTACATCTAGAACAAACAAACAAAGCATTCAGCATTATTTGTTGCTTTGAAGAGCCAGAAGCCAAGGAACATTTTTGAGCATGTCATCAGTGCCAGAAGGCTGTTCATACAGCTGTTTCATACACACCACAGCTAAAAAGCACTTTGTTGCCTCAGTAATATTAGAACAGCAGGCATCACGAAGTCCCTAAGCAACTTCCTGTCTGGAAGGTGCATTAGAAGCAGCTAGAACCAGCCGGGCCTCAGTAGCCTTCTAATTATCAGCCATGTGTTACGCACTTAAGACAAGCACTGTGCTAAGTACCTTACATCAGCTGTCTCTCAGAAAGTCCTTCTCACATCCCTATGAGACATACTGCTCTTTTATAGAGAGGGCAGCAGACACTCAAGAGATAACTCGGTGACGGAGGGGCGTTGAACCCGGTCTGTCTGTACCATGTGGCCATAGGTAAGTGTGCATCCTCTGCTGGTTGCCGTTCAAGCCTACATGCCCTTTCCTTCCTCGCCAGTAAATACTACGAGAAGGAAGCTCTCTTGATGGACCCCGTGGACGGCCCCATCCTTGCGTCTCTGTTGGGTAAGTGGCTCAGTGCGGTGCGCTTCATTTGCATCTCTGCTCACAGCTCGTCCTAAGGATCTCTGTCACCTTTCTGCAGCCTCCCCGCCTCTGGCTCCCAGGGTTCTGTTTCAGTCTCTGCTTAGCAGGACTCAGGAGCTTGAGATGGCGGGATGGGATCCAGTCTGGTGGGGAGGGGAGGGTGGACTTTCAGGCCTGTGGATGCCCAGCCCCACATGCTCCGCAGTGGGGCCCTGCGCCCTGGAGTACACCAAGATGAAGACTGCGGATCACTTCTGGACCGATCCCTCGGCCGACGAGCTCGTGCAGAGACACCGCATCCATAGCTCACACCTGCGGCAGGACTCGCCCACCAAGCGTCCAGCCCTCTGCGTGAGTGGGGTGGACAGTGGGGTGCCGGAGAGGGACTCGCTTCTGAATTTGATGTTGCGCAGAGAGTGGATTGGGGTGGGACCTTGACAGTCATGCCAGGCCTGTCCGCACCTCTCACACTACTAGATTCAGAAGAGGCATTCGAGTGGGAGCATGGATGACCGGCCATCCCTCTCTGCCCGTGATTACGTTGAGTCCTTGCACCAGAACTCCCGGGCCACCCTGCTTTATGGCAAGAACAATGTCCTGGTCCAGCCGGTAAGAGTTCATCTTGGCCCAGAGCTTCCACTGGGGGTCAAGATCCAGGTTACAGCGGAGGGGTTCCCTCGGGCTCCAGGTTGCCCATCCATCTATCCATCCATCCATCCATCCACTCACCCATCCATCCACTCATCCACTCACCCACTCATCCACCCATTCATCTGCCAGCATCTCCATCCATCCCTCAGTCATCAGCCAATGGGTCCATCTGTCCGTTCATCCACGCATGCAGCATCCGTCCGTGTATGTGCTCACACGACACTGTCATCATCCATCCACCTGTTCTCCCCTCTCTCCGTACTTCCAGCCTGCCAGCTCTTCCAGCCCGAGTACTCACCCATTCCTCGGTGCCTTAGGCCCTGCCCCTCACCCGCCAGCCTGTGTATGGCCCTCCAGTCACTTGTCCATTTATTTTCCAGTTCATCGCTTCGTGCAGCCATCCACCCAACTGTCTCTCCATCCGTTCTTTCTTGTTCTTTCTCAAAGTCAGTCAGCAAGTATTTGTACTGAGCCTATGCGCTGAAACATGCTGCTCTTAGCTATGTACTAAATACTTGCGATACCAAGAGAAACATCTTCATAGGTAAAACTCACTGATGCTTCCTCTGTGCCAGGCACCACGGTGAGAGTGTTGACCGTGTTAACTCCGGGAAACCTCACTGCGGCCAGCAGGTGCTATGATCGGAGATAGTAGCACTGAGCTTCATCCAGGTGGAGAAAGGGGTAGCGTTGTGATTTGAATTCAGGTCTGAAGGTGCCAGAGTCTGTGCTGTTTACCTACCTGGGGGCCAGGCCCCTAGGAAGGGTGGTGCACAAGGTACCCACAGCTCCCCTCTCATGTGATATGGTTGTCCGCCAGGGTCAGTGAGTGTTTGGGCTCAGCTGGGAGGAAGCGGAGAGGGGGAGGTTTGGCTTCTGTGACTCAGGGTTCAGAGTTGTGAGAAATGGGTCACCCCCAGCCGTCTCTTCTTCCCCTGAGTCACAGTCTAACACCCTATTTTCTCATCCCTAAGAAGGCATAAATTTAACATGTGCCATTTTTAACATAACTATCAGGATATAAGAAGGCTATAAAATTATATATAATGTTTTCTCACTTCTTGAAAAATTTATCTTACAACCTTTGAAAAAACTCTGTGACTTCTTTGGGTATAGCTTTTATTAACACACATTATCTTAAAAGTGCACTCAGGGAGAACATACTTGAAATGTATTAGTTAAGATAGTTCTCAAACTTCTTTACATTTCAGGGTCACTTTTTGACTCAGTGTTCTTATTTTTCCACCAAATATCATTTTCTGTTCTAACATGAAAAAGGTCAACAAAATATTGCCTATGGGCCCAATGTGGCCCTCCTCCTATGTTTATAAATAAAGTTTTATTGGAGCCTAGTTATGCCCGTTGGTTTACACGTGGTGTGTGACTACAGTAGCAGCATTGAGAGGTTGCAAGGCTGCCTGTATGGCTCAGAAAGCCAAGATGACGACTTGTTTGGGCCTTTCAGCACAAGCTTGCTGACCTCTGATTAGGAGCATGGAGGTATAGCATTTCTTGTGAGCATATCCACTTGGTCTCTGGAACCTTCTTAAGTACTATGAAGCACTGGGTTGTTGCTTTGCAAAAATATCTGGACCAGGACATACCTGCAGTGGTGTGTAATGAATCTACATTTTCAGCATTGAGTTAGTAACTCATTGCTCTATTCTCAGCCTTTCTGCATACACTTTTTAATTCAAAGCTGAATCACAGTCTGACCTTTTGGAAGAAACTTAAAATAGCACCTCCCATCCCCATGGGAAGTAGCCAGCACGTGTACAATTTAGTTGAACTGACAGTCATATGGACGCCTGTGACCAGGTTTGCACAAGGTCACTCAATACAGCTACACTGCAGGTGTGAGAGGCACCCAGTTATCAGATGCACCCTGTTTTGGTGCATCACAAAGTGAAGCACAGCTGTGATCTTGGAATCAATGGGGTGCTGCAGCAGGGCCTCCTCGTGGGTTGGGGACACATGCAATTAGGTTGTGACAATCTTGTAAAGCGGAGCCACACTCGGTCTCTGCTCAGTGCTCAGCGTCTGGCTCCACAAGCTGCTGGGGTGAATTTCATGGAGGGGCTGCCTCTTCTGTGTGTGCGGCTTGGGGATACCCCTCCACCCTCAATACACCCCACGTGGGATAAGGCAAAGAAGACGAGAAACAAAGGGTCAGGGTCAGGGTCAGGGGCAGGCTGATGGCACTGTGTGGGGAGGGGGTCCCGGGTAATGCCTCTGTGCAAGATGCAGGGTGCAATTGCCATCTCTTTCTCTTTGGCCAAAGCGAGGCCAAAGAAGTGCCTTCTGTTTTGGAAAGGGTGCTGTGGACAGGGCCCCGAGCTTCAGGAGGGAGGCTGGGCATTTGCACAGGAGGCCATGGAGCACCCTCCCAGGAAGTTGGCTGTAAGCAGCTTGGCTCCCCACAGCCACCTGGGTGGAGGGCTGGGGTCTTCCGAGTGGCCACCTCCGTGGAGGGAACACCCTTGCCTCTTGATTCTGGCTGTGATTCCTGGAGCCAAATGGTCCAGGGTCATGCACATGTGACTCTGCACTGTGACCAGGCTGAGTCCTTGTCTCTGCAGAGGGATGACATGGAGGCTGTGCCAGGGTACCTGTCCTTGCACCAGACGGCCGACGTCATGACCTTGAAGTGGACACCCAACCAGCTGATGAATGGGTCTGTGGGGGACCTGGACTATGAGAAGAGGTAGGACGTTGAATCTGCTGTGTCCCCTGGGGTCCCGGGGCCCAAGGCCCCTCCCTCCTCTGGGCATGGGGATGTCCCTCCCGGGGGTTGTGCTTTATGAGTCACTCAGAACTCAGTGAATCAGAAACCTACCAGAAGAATCTTAAGGCGTGGAAATTAGTAGTAGAGCCCTGGTCAATACAGCGCACACAGAGAGAAATCTTAACCATCTTGGAAGCCCACAAATGGCAAAATTCTCTCCAGTTTGCAAGATACCCTTCTGCCCAATACAAAGAGAAGCAGCTGTTCAGGGCTACAGTGTTCTGCAGTTTCTAAGACCCAGCAAGGGAGCAAAGGTTGTGGCATTACAGTCCCAGCAAGCTCGGGAACAGTGGGTTCGCTCCTGCGGCCGCGTATTCTAGCACACACGACTGTAGAACACGGGGAAGTGTGTGTGGCTACAGCTGGCCAGTCTCTTCGGCTGAGGAGTCTTGGCTGCTCACGGGAGGAGAAACAGCGGTTCTTGCTTCTCTGATCCAAGTCTAATCCTATTTTTCTTTTTACGTTTTCTTAATTTCTTAGCAGTGTTTTATTATGAAGGATTTCCAGAATAAAAATAGGCAGAGCAGTCCCATCACCCAGCCAGCCTGGCCTCCTCTCATGCCTATTATTATTATTATTTTTTTAGGTTTATTTATTTGTGCATACAGAACTAGGGTACAGGCCAGAGGCTGAGGGGCGGCGAGAGGCTTCACCAGAGACAGAGTGGGGAGCAGAATAGGCAGATGGACGAAGTACACTGCTGAGGGGAGCAGCGGGCGGGTCAGGAGAGGTCTGCCACACCATGTGGTCACCTCTGGGGGCAGGCGGGGATTGAACTCATGCAGAAGTGGCTTTAGCTTCTTAGTGCTGTACTTTAACCCGCTGCACCACCAGGGAGGGCCGCCTATTATTCTTTAAAAAAAAAAAAGTTATTTATGCTTACAGAACCGGGGTATAGGCCAGAGGCATGATGGGTAAGAGGATTCACCAGACAAGAGTGGGGAGCAGAACAGGCAGATCTACTGAAATACACTGCTGAGGGGAGCAGTGGGTGGGTCAGGAGAGGTCTGCTGCACCATATCTGTCAGCTCCCTGGCCGGGGATCAAACTTGTGCTGCAGTGGCTGCAGAGAGTTTCATAGTACTGTGCTTTACCATGTTGCACCACCAGGGAGGGCCCGTATGCCTGTTATTCTGATGCAGTGTGCAGTCATCATCGGTCTCCCTCTGTAAGGACAGACTAGACATAAGCACCCTGAATTGAGGGAACATGGCCAGAATATCATCACTGTGTCTGTTCTATGCAGTCATCGGCAGGCCTTGCTATGATGAGTACTGTCTCCAGGTGTTCACTTCCCATGCAGAGATGTCCTTTCTGCTCAGAAAGGTTGCTGGACAGTGCAGTTGCTCCTAGGCTGGGCCACACAATTCAACTCCAGCAGGACTTGAGAGTTTGTGATCAAGGAGTGGTTGCAGAACAGCGTGGGGCCAAGGAAGTGTTCCTGGCCAGGACCCTGTTCTCATGTTCAACCATCGTTCCTTGAGCTGCCAGCTGAGTTTGGGTCACACAGAGCTGTAATGTCCGTTTTAGCATATACGCACTTATGGTCACGTAGAAATCTGTTCTTGCTGGACCTGTTGTCTCACCCTCCAGATCTCAGCTCCTATAGCAGGAACCTATTTTGCTCATGTCTTCTCCCCAAGCACCTGCCACAGATGCTAGGTGCTCAGATAATCTTTATGAAACAATACAGGGAAGTCTGGGAACCTGACTCATTCACTAACTGAGCACCTACTCTGTGCTCGGCACTGTGCTAGCCCTCCCTGGTGGCGCAGCGGGTTAAAGCACAGCATTGCAGGCAAGCCACAGTGTGGGTTCAATCCCCAGCCCCAGAGGGGACCCACATGGCGAGGCAGAGCTCTCCTGACCCCCCATTACCCCACTGCTCCCCTCAGCAGTGTACTTTGTCAGTCGGTCTGTTCTGCTCCCCACTCTTGTCTCTGGTGAATCCTCTCACCACCCCTGTGCTCTGGTCTGTCCCCCAGTTCTGTATGCATCAGTAAACAATTATTTAAATAGTAATAAAAGAGAGAGAGAGAGACACTGGGAGGGTTCTTCAAAGGGCCTGCAGGGGTATCTTCTGCAGGCATCAAGCTTCCAACAACTCAACCACCCTATGGTTGGACCTAAGCCCAAGGCTTGTGTGGGCAGGAAACTTTTGGTGTTGATGCTTTGGTAAAGGCTCCGGGCTGAGCGCCACCATCCTACCCCTACCCGCCATTTAAACCACAGGCACTCCGCTTCTTTGCGTTATCTTACTCTGCTTCTTTGCATTGTCTTTTCCTGTCTGTGACCCAGCACCTCATGTGGTTCAATATTTATGTGCATCTGAATCACTGACAGGGCTGGGGACCTCCTCGGCCTGCGCACTGAACCCCACCTATCTTTGATTTTTATGCCTCGGAGTAGGGCTCAGTAGAGAAACAGTCAGAGATGGGCTTCAGAGATGGAGATTATCACAGGTATATTATCTTCCCAGGGGCTCCAGCACCCCCTTGGAGGTTCAGGATCTCTCTTCCAGCCAGCTTTCCTCTTGCACAAACAGGATGGTGGCTCCCCAGTGGGGCTGCCTGGTGTCCACGAGGAAACATCACCAAAGGTGGATCTCTGGGCTCCAAGCTCAGGCTGGCCCCGGCTCTTCTCAGTCCTGCCCCACAGTTAGCTGGAACCCCCGCACAACCACTCGCAAGCCAGTTTGGAAGATTCTGTAAGGTCTGCTTATCATACGGCCCCACGATTCCACTCTAAGGAACTTTTTAAAAAGACTTACGTATTTATGCATACAAGAACTAGGGTGTAGGCCAGAGGTACAGGGGTGTGGGTGATGAAAGGATTCACCAGAGACAGTGGGGAGCAGAACAGTCAGATTTACTAAAATCCACCTCTGGGCGAGCAGCGGGCGAGACAGGAGAGGTCTGCTGTGCCATGTGAGTCAGCTCCTGGCGGGGTATCTGACTCGTGCTGCAGTGGCTGGCAGTAGCTTGATAGCACTGCGTCTTTAACCTCTGCATCACTAGGAAGGTCCTCTAAGGAACTGTTAAAGCATGTAAAGGAAACCCAAAGCTCTTTCCCAGTCGAATGATCTTGGACCACCAATTTTACTTTTCTAAACCACAGTCTTTATCATCTGTGAATGGGAATGAGTTAATGGGCCCGACTAAGCATGCAGGAGAAAGTGAACATAAAACCCTTAGCAGGGAGCCTGCAACCTGAGTATCGGGGACCCGCGCTGCTAATCTAAGTGCATCCAAAATCTAAGAGATCTGTTGCCACAGAGCTAGCTCCTGCCTGCTGGCGTGTAGTGGCTGGAGAACCGCTTGGTTTCCCAGACGCCCCCAGGGCCCAGCAGTCACTGATCACTCTGAATATTCTCTGAACATCTTGCTGAAGTGAATGAAACCCAGGCTCAGCACCCCTTGGGAAGATGGGAGAAAACCGCCACCTATACACCTGTACGGTGCCATAGTGTGGAGCCCAGAGAAGCACGTCCTGGCCCAGACTGCGCGTGAGTGCGCCGCAGAGGACGCACCTCTAAAGCACTGTGCCCCTGCTGTCCTGCAAGCACACTCTGTGGGCTCTGGGGACACCAGAGCTGGCACAGACCAGTGCAGCAAGGGCCCTGGGAGAGCTTCTGTGCTGACTTCTTCATGTCACAGCTGGGGAAACTGAGGCATGGAGAAAGGGAGGGATTATTTCAGTGTAGATGGCAGAAGTGGGATTTGCATCCTGTCTGATCTTGGAGCCTGTCTTAGTTTGTGCCCACAAAGAAGCAGACACCAAGACAGGATGTGCTCTGCAGGAAAGACTTACTAGGAAGCCCCAGCGAAGGAGGAGAGTGGAGAGCAGGAGGAGATGACAGGGCCTGCGGAGACCTTGAGACGGGTCACGTCCCCGGGAAGCGTGGGTGAAGGCAGGCGAAGAGGGCAGGAAGTGTCTCCACTCTAAGCGAGCCCGGCTAAAGGTGACCATTAGATGGTTCCCTGCCCAGAGCGGAGGCCTCCCTGGCTCTGTGAGCTTGGTCCCAGCTGGGAGAGCCCGAGGAGAGTGGGCCCTGGGCACAGAAGCAGGTGGTGGCCTCTGAAGCTGGTGGGTAGCTGTCCCCTCAGCAGGCGCTCCTGCAGGACACCTGGGTAACACGTCCCTGGGGCTGCCACGGCGTCCTCACAGTGGCCCTCTCCTCCCATTGTGTTCTGAGGAGGAAAATAATCAGTTTCAAGATACCAGTAGGCTTTCAGCCAGAAATGGAAACCCTTGAGTAGATAATCACAGTGACCACTAACCAAGAGTTTTTTTATGTATCTGTGTTGAACTCCTCAAATATATGATTCCATTTGCCACTCTCAGGACTGCTAACAGGTAGATATTGCTATCATCCCATTTTGCAAAGGAGGAAACTGAGTCATAGAAGTCTTCAAGTCACACTGCTGGCCCCAGGGAAGTGTGTTGAGCGGCTGTTCTAGCACCATCCCACAGATACATGGGGCCTGGAGGTAACGTCTGTGTTAAACAAGACTATAGAGACCAGAAATCAAACTCAGACCCACATGAAATAAAAAATCCAGAGGCATGGTTCTTTCAGGCATGGCCGGATCCAGGGACTCGAAGGCTAAGGACTTGGCTCTTCATTTGTGCTCCCACTGTTGAATCCATTCTCGGGCAGGTTTTTTCTTAGCACGACTCCCTGCATCTCCAGACTTCCTCACCCTTACCGCTCACCCCCAGTAGAAAGGGGCATTGTTTTCACAGTGGCTCACGTAGATAGGGCAACCGAGCCTCGCTGCTGCTGCTGCGGTCCTGGGCTGTCTCGAGCCTGCTACTCTGAGCTGAGCAGCGCAGTGTGCTAACTGGCCAGGCCTGGGTCAGGTGGCTCTTCCTGGAGTCCTGGACAGAAGGTGGATGAAGTCAACCTCAGCCACAGGCAGTGGGGGAAAAGGCTAGGTTTCTTGGAAAATTGGGGCGTGGGAACCAGAAGAAGGGGGTGTCAAGTTTGGCAAGGTGGAGACATGGATGTCAGCAACAGGGCATTTGTGACAAGGGCGAGGACCCCGGGTGTGGTCTTGTGTTCCTGGGCACCTCCCCAAGATGGGGTGGGCAGGCATCCTGTGGGCTTAACGCTGCCCCCTTCCAGCGTCTACTGGGACTTCGCCATGACCATCCGCCTGGAGGAGATTGTCTACCTGCACTGCCACCAGCAAGGTAGGGGCCATGCGGGGCACGGGCTGCTGGTCCTCCTGGGTGCCCGCCTGGCTCCACCCCTTATTGCCTGTGCCACCACAGACAAGGGACTTACCCCTGCCCTGGGCCTCAGTTTCCCCATTTGTAAAATGGGGATCATAGCTCCTGTTCATGGGGTTAGGAATCCAATGATGTTTGTTACATACTCAATGTCAAACCCAAGGTGTAGTGGCCGACACTGATTGAGTGTTTGTGTCCCAAATACCTGCATGTCTGTGACTCAGGGTGGGTGCCTCCACTCCCCCATCAGGGAGGGGGCTGCTTGGCACAAAGTGATAATGGCCTTTAAGCTCCTGTCTCCAGACTTGAGCCCAGGTCTTTGTGACTCCAAGTCAAAAGTGCCCTGAAGATCGGGAGTCAATAACTAGAGTTCTCCTGAAAGCTCGCTCAGACCAAGCCGAGAGCCACCCTGTTTTAGCGAGCCGGGGCGTGCCTCGGCACGGCGCACAGCAAGCTCATTCACTGAGGTCACGGGTCCACCCCGCCACTGAGCAGTGGGGTGATGTGGGCAAGTCCCTTCCCTCCTCTGAGGCCTGGTTTCATGACTTGTCAAATGTTGCGGAGAGGTGTTTTGAGTGTTAGTCTACTAGAGGCGTGCCTCTGAAGCGCTGTTCTTAGTGTCCAGGGTGTGCCCTATGGGGAGGTCTGAAAGCCTCCATGCAGAAATGGGTCAGAGGGGTCCGTGAGGGCATGTGAGGGGGTGCAGGGTGTTCCCTTAGTTGGTGACTTCAGGGAAGCCAGCCATACTCTTTGTGACCTTGTCCTGAGGTTCACTGGTCAAAGGCCGTGGTAGGAGGAGCAACAGCGACCTCTGACCTCTGCTCTGCCGCCCCAGAACCTCAGAGCAGGGTCCGGGTCTGACTTGGCGTGCCCGGGGCATGTGTCGGGAGGGTCCCATCGTCACGCCTCGCAGTGACTTCCTGCTGGGTGTTCTCTGGCCGGGCTGTGTGGCAGTGGACAGCGGCGGAACAGTGGTGTTGGTCAGCCAGGATGGGATCCAGAGGCCGCCCTTCCGCTTCCCGAAGGGTGGGCACCTCCTGCAGTTCCTCTCGTGCCTGGAGAATGGGCTGCTCCCTCACGGGCAGCTGGACCCGCCTCTCTGGTCCCAGCGGGGGAAGGTGAGTGACTGGGGGTGCAGGGTGGCTGGCAAAGGTGAGCCAAAGGGCAAGGTTATCCTTCTCGCCGAGACACACGTGGCTCATGCATGCTCTCCCCGCCCTGCCCACCCCCATGGGGAAGCAAATATGTTCAGGAATGGTGCGTTGGGGCACGTTCTTTCAGGGCAAAGTGTTTCCCAAACTGCGCAAGCGAAGCCCTCAGGGTTCCGCCGAGTCCACATCCTCGGACAAGGAAGATGACGAGGCCACGGATTACGTGTTCAGGATCATCTACCCCGGCGTGCAGTCTGAGTTTGGTGAGCTGCCCCCAGCTGGGCCCATGCACACACCTGTTCACTGATCCTAAAAAGGGCTCCAGGTGTTGGGAGCTAAAGGACAAGGGTCTGGATTCTGGGACTAACAGAGGGATCTGGAATCAGGACGTTAGTATCTGGGGCCCCTTAGTGTCCTCCCCAAATGAAAACAAATAGCCAGTCACCTCCTAGCCTGGAGGGAGGTGGCATGGGGTATGACAGTGACGCCAGCTGTGGAATCCCAGTTGAACTTGGGCGGGTCCCTTCCCCCTGTGTGCCTTGGTTTCCTCATCTGTACAATGAACGCGTTCATAGCACCTGTGCCACGGGGCTCTTGTGCCAAGACACCTGGCACGCAGGCCACTCGTGTTAGCCGCTGTTCTGTTGTTATGGTTTCATTAGTTTATTTTTCAGTTTTAAAATGTACCTTTTTCTTACATTGTATTAATTTTGGACAGTCTGTGATTCCCCTGCTCAGATGGTGTCACCCCTTCTCCTCCCCCACCCCCCACGCCTTAGATCTGCGGTCAGCTTTCAAGGTTTGTCTTTGTCTAACCCTTTGGTTTCCTTATATTCCACATATAAATGAGGCCATCCATTTTTATCTTGTTCCTTCTGAATTATTTTACTTTGCGTCATCCCTTCTGGCTCCATCCATGCTGCTGCATTTTATTTCAACATATTGTAAGGATTCAGTGAGCTAATGAGGTGGTCAGCGTAGCGCCCACAGAGTTTGGCCTGGTGCGATAGGTCCTCAGTAAGCAGCAGCCTCACTGCTGTGGGGAGGGAAGCCAGCATCAGAGGTGGCGAATGGCCAGCAGTTTGCACAGCACTGCCGTGAGCTGGACATAGTTGATGGAAACTGTTACACTGTCGTGGGGCCATTATGAGAATTAAGTGAATTAATATTTGAAAAGTTCTAAGGAGGCCTGGCATTTTTCTAAGCACCATGTAGACGGCTATTGAATTAATACTAAGTTCCAGGCGCTGTTAATCTCATTTATTTAAACCTCAGTGGCCCAGCTGTTCCAATGATGGAGCCCAACTTGGGGCCGCCCTTGCCTTTAGTGGCTGCGACTGGGCAGAGCAGGCTCTTGGACCAGACATCCTGCCTGCAAGGCAGAAGTGATCACGCCAGGCGCTTAGTGCTGGACTCCCACCCTTGGCCGAATGGGGCCTGGGCTGGGCGGCAGGCATGGGGCAAAGTCTTCCGTTGCTGAGTTAGCAAGTGCCTTCAGCACATACTCCTTCACGGCTGCTAAGGAGCAGAGCCTCGTATTCCTGCATCATCAAGAGTCACGCGGCGGCCGCAGAGTTCATTACCGCTGCGTCCCTGCCCAGGAGAGCGAGCGTCTGGAGCCGCCCCAGCCTCTCCGCCGAGGGTCTCTGCCTGAGACTGTCTCTGGTGTCTCCTCCATGGTCACCTTGAGCCATCTGTGGCTGCCAAACACTTGAAATGTCTCAAATTGTTCAAAAAGTTCAAATTAAGATGTGCTGGGAGTGTAAAAGTATACACTCGATTTGAGGACTTTGTGCATAACAAAGAGTGAAAAATAGCTCACTAATTTTATATTGATTATATGTTAAAATTGATAATACCTTGCATTTATTGGGTTAAACAAGATGCAATGTGGAGATTGACTCAACCTACTCCTTTTTACCTTTTTAGAGGAGCTACTGGGAATCTTAGATCACGCCCACGGCTTGCATTGTCTCTCTGGCGGACAGCTCAGGGCACTGAGTAACTGTTGCTGGGGGAGATCACCTGCACATGGGATATTGAGCATAGTCAATATCCATGGTCTCTGCTCACTAAATCTTAGTAACATATAACCAGTTTCCCCTTGTGACAACTAGAAAAGTCCCCAGACATCCCTTATGTGCCTCGGTGACCATGGCCCCGTGCGAATGGCTGGTCTAGGGTGAGGGTGGTCACTGGGTCAGCAGCCAAGGGCAACAGCTAAGACAATATGAGTAGGATCTTGGTTTCCAATCCTTGGGTTGGAACTCCAGCTCTAACACTTAGCAGCTTGATGGACTTGGGCATGCTATCAGGAAGCTTGTGCCTCAGTTTCCTGATCTGTAAAAGAAGGTTAAGATAATATATCATCACTCTTGTTAGAAGGGAACATCAGTACCAAAGACCAAATCTTTATTAAAAGATTTATTTATTTATGCATACAGAACTGGGGCACAGGCCACAGGTGCAGGGGTGGTGAGAGGATTCACCAGAGACAGAGTGGGGAGCAGAACAGGCAGATCAATGAAGCACACTGTGAGGGGAGCAGTGAGCGGGCCAGGAGAGGTCTGCTGCTCCGTGTGGGTCACCTCCGGGGAGGGGATTGAACTCACACCTACGTGGCCACGGCTCACCTGCAGTGCAGTGCTTTAACCCGCTGCGCCACCAGGGAGGACCCTGGTGCAACTTTTTTTTTTTTTTAAGATTTATTTATTTATTCCTACAGAACTGGGGTACAGGCCAGAGATGCGGAGGGTGAGAGGATTCACCAGAGACAGAGTGGGGAGCAGAACAGGCAGATAGATGAAGCACACTGCTGAGGGGAGCAGCGGGCGGGTCAGGAGAGGTCTGCCGCGCCACGTGGTCACCTCCGGGGCAGCGGGGATCAAACTCATGCGGAAGCGGCTTTAGCTTCTCAGCGCTGTGCTTTAACCCGCTGCGCCACCAGGGAGGGCCCACCTGGTGCAACTTTTGAGTGGTCACATCATCATCATTCTGAGCTTCAGTTTCCATTTCTGTGAAATGGGGGGGAAATGCTTCCCTTACAGGGTCACTAAGGACCATAAGGCGGCCAGGGTGCTGCCTTTGCCACAGCAGCATACAGCAGGCACACTAAATGCCAGTATTCTTCTCCCTCCAGTGGAGCATGGTGTGTGCCAGCTGCGTGAAGCAGCCCCGGGAACTGGCTGCTGCTGTCCCGGTACCCCACCTGCCTCGGACCGCACATTTCACCAGCTCTTTTCATTTTGTGTCTCAAGTTGCTCCCGGTCCCGTGTGCAGAACTTCCCCTGTCTCCACGGGCCCTGCCTGGACGGTGGTTCCTGCGGGCCGCTCCATGCTGGTGGTGGCCAGGGACAGTCAGTGGGCACGAACCAGATGGGATGCCACCCTTCCCACACCGGGCCTGAGGCAGCAGCCCCCCAGTAATGTCTGGGCTCCCCCCACCCTCGGGCTGGGTGCCAGCCACCTCTGCCATGTTGTCATGTGTGTCTTGGTCCCAGTGGGGATGGAGGTAATGGACAAGCTGGTACCATCCAGCCTAACCCTGCAGCTTGCGTGCTGTGGGTTCAGCAGTGAAGGGACCCATGGGTGAGGTCTGCAGGGGGTGATGTGTGAGGAGCTGTGGGTGAAGACATGTCTGCCACACCTTGGAAAACTGATAAGTGCTTCCCTGAAATGAGCTGAAAACTGGGCACGTTTTTTTCTAGAACTTTTTAGAGGCTCTATCCTTTCGTGGTCACCTCATTGGTGAGTGTATAGAGGGGAATGGTCTAATAAGCTGTATTTTGGTGCCCACTCCATGTTGGTAGTTTTCAGTTCTGTCAGTAGGGAGTGACAGGCTGAGCTCCAGGTCCTCAAGTCCCCTCCGGAGAGCCTGAAGGAAGAAGATGGGTGTCACCAGCACACGGAGAGACATGGCGTTGGGCAGATGTGTGCGCCTTAATGGGGCTTGGCCACATCTAACCGCAGTCTATTGCCCACGAGCTAAGGGTGGTTTTTACATTTTAAAATGATTGAAAACCTCAAAAGGGGAATAATTTTTGTAATGTGTAGTTAATAGCATGAAATTCACATTGTAATGTCTAGAAAGTTTTATTAGAACATATTTATTCCACTTGTTTGATTTTGGCTGGTCTGCTGAGACCAGAGTTGAGTGGTGGTAACAGCGAGCAAATAGTTCTCAAACCCTAAGATATTTACTGCCTGACCTCTTGTAGAAAAATAGATACAGAGCCCTGTCCTAGAGAAATCAGTTTTTTTAGCCTAGAACTGCCAAAAGGCCAGGAAGTTGCCTCTAGAAGTTGTGATGCCTATATCACTGGTATTTGTACTCTGCAGTACTGCAGACACTAGATTTCATGAAGCTGGAAAGAAGTAAGGAGCTATAAGTACTGTGTCCTAAAAGCAGCTGATCTCAAATCACCGAAGCCCAAGAGTTAGGACATCAGTTTTGGTTCTTGAATGTGGCTATTATCAAAATTGTTTTTGAAATACAGACTCACAGGCCCATACCTACAGGGGATTATGATTCAATACATGTGGATATGATATATGCGTATGAAGTTTTGACAAGCTCCTCCTTCCACCCCCACATGATTCAGTGGGGGGCGGGGGGCCTGCTAACTAGTTTGAGGTCCTCTTGGTGACTCAGTACCATGGAGAGTGAACGCGCCCTCCGCCCTCATCAGCGGGGACTCACCAGCCGCCTGCTCCTGTGTGCTGACTCACCTTTGCATCAGACTCCTTTCCCTCTTGCTGCCAACCTCTCCATGAGCCCTAGCTCATGAGGCTTTACGAGCCTTCCACAGAAGCCTCCAGCAGGCCCCCTCCCCTCCCATCAGCATCTCATGAGGACAGCTAAATGACAACATGGCGAGGCGAAGCTGTCCACTCTGGGGTTGGATGTTTCCTGGGCGCTGGTCTTTCTGTTTTCATCCTCTCTCCAACTTGCTGGCTCTGCCCATTGGCTGGGAATCCCAGATCTTGGTGGCGGTCATTGGATCAGCTGGGCTCAGGACCTGGGTCAGACTATGATTGACATCACTGTTTCCTACTGTGCCTTCAGGGTCTTCCCTGTCTCTGTGCTGGCTGGGGTGAGCTGCTTGCTTTGGGTGAGGTTGCTGTGGCCCATGGAGGTTACCCAAGGCTCTCCCTCTGCCCTTCTACCCACCACAGCCCCCCAGGACATGATGGATGTCTCTGTAGGCAACCTGCCACCCCTGTGGCAGCCCAGTCCCCGGAAGTCTTCCTGCTCGTCCTGCTCACAGAGTGGCTCTGCTGATGGTGGCTCTACCAATGGCTGCAACCACGAGAGGTAGGAGCGGCCTGAGCTGCAGATGGAGGAAACTGAAGGATTTGCCAAACATACATAGATACCCTTATCTTCTGCACTGAATTCAGGGGTGGGGGGGAGCATTGAATCAATTTTATTTTTAAATTCTGGCCTTGTGAAGTCCTAACTGTTGGAGAGTCCTTATGTGTGTCAGTCATAAACAAGGTTATGTCAATAACGAATAGCCCTGGCATCTGGTGACTGCTTTTGCCACGTGGAAGTCACACTGATGATGCAACCGCCATCTTGAATGTTACCAGTAACTCCGTAAAGGGAAAGGCGCTCTCGGGGGACTTGCAGCTACCACTAGATGTTCCAGCCCTGCAGAGCACAGGCCATTCTCCTCAACCCACAAGGGGCCAGGACATGCAGTCCTGCTGTGCTCCTGGGGAGCAGAAACCAGAGATATTTCTTAATGACGAGCATACAAACCCCAGCTTGCTCCCCCACCAGAGGGGGATACTAATACTTCCCTGCGTGCGGCTGCTATAAGGACTCATCAAATGATGGCCTAAAGGGGCCAGCATGTGGGGCCTGGCTTGTGGTGATCATCCATAAATAGCGTCATTTTACTGTATGAAATGAAATCCTCAGAGCGGCCTCTCTTTCTTCTTGCCCATGGGGCTCTTGTCTCTTCAGAGCTTCGCAGCCAGTTCATGACACTGGTCTTGTTTCCACTGACTCAGTGTAGCCTGCCCGGGAGAATGGAATCCTCTTCCTTAGTGGACCTCAGCCTCAAAGGGCAGCTGGAGGGCAGGGACTAAAAGCACTTTTTCTTTTCAGTTTATTGGCTGACCACTGAGTGAGAGAATATTTAGGAGTGTAACTTCACACCTCGAGAACTACAGGAGCACACACCCCCCTCACCAGTGTTCCTTTTTGAGGTGCTGTGAGCCAGTAGCATCAATACCTGAGCTGGTTCTCTGTTCCCCTCCCAGACCTACTGAAGCAGAATCTGCATTAACAAGACACATGATCACCTGAGAGCTTTTCATCTGCAGTGCACTGATACACCAGATTCCATATTTCTGTGTATCAGTCACCTAGGGAGGCAGCAGAACATATCTGGTTTCTAGACGTCCTGATGGAGTAGGCCTGTGTGGGGCCCGGGAATCCACGTGTTGGAGAAGCCCCAGGTGTGCTCGGGCTGGCAGTTAGGCCATTGGGAAAATGCCATCCTGACCTCTGATGGCACTTGTTTATGTGCCCGTAGAGACGGGCAGCCCGCCCCTCGCAGCTGGCCCACTGTGGGACGGCATCTGTATGCTGCTGTTCACACACAACTGGAGCCAGCACGAGCCTCGCCGTCCTGAGGGCCTGGAGAGGGCCCCTTTCATGGTCACTGTCTCCATTTGCCCCGGCTGGGTCCAGATGTAAGAAACAGAAATCTCCGTCCCGCCAGCCCTGCCTGCCTCTCTGATGATTTCTTTCTCAGGCCGGCTCATCTGACCGCCAGCAGCTGCCTCCCATTCCAGCAGCTTAGGAACTCAAACAGAAGAGTGTTTCCCAGTAACGCCAACAAACGTCCCAGGACTCCCCTTGATCTGGTTGGCTCACACGGCCACTTCTGGCCCAACCACTGACCCCAGCCTGACTAGTGTACTCAGTAGAATCAGCGCTGACCCAAACCACAAGAACAGACTGGGTGGCAAATTTATCCAAGGATGGGCAGAAACAGGATTTCTGCTGTCTCCTTGACTGACTATTTAATCTGCTTTCACTAGACAGTGAGTTGTGCTCTGCAAAAAAGCCTGGGTTCTGCATGCCTCTGTCCTAAATGTCTCCCCTCCCCACCTGCAGGGCTCCTCTGAAGCTTCTCTGTGACAATATGAAGTACCAGATCCTTTCCAGAGCCTTCTATGGATGTGCGTATTGGCTTTATTTCCCACTGTGTTCTCCAGGGAGCATTTATTGTGTGCTTACTATATGCCAACATTGTCAGGAAAAGAAGCCTGACACTGGAGTTCTGACTTTCACTTATCTGTTTTCTATATGTGTAGTTGGGGAGGCCTCAGTTTCCTTACCTACAGATTGGAGGTAAATTTATCCTTCAATTCTGAGGTAAACGGTGGTTGCTCAGTGGCCAGGGTTGTGGTTCATCACAGTTCTCATCTTAGGGAGATTTTGGGGGGGACTGAATGAAAAGTGCGTTTAAAGTCCCTAGCAGCTAGCATTTCATATCGCAGATACTCAATAATGTCATCTGCTTCTCTGGGCAGAAGCAGAAGAGTAAATCATCCTAAAGTCTCTCTCCAAGACTTTAAAAAGTTAAATTCATAATACAATTACTCACTGTAACTATTGTTACTTAAAAAATGAGGAGACTAAGGCAAGAGAGGCAGAGGGACTTGTGCAGGGTCACACAGCCAATAATCAGTAAAGTTAGGACTCAGCCCCAGGCTGCCTGACTGCAAAGGCTCTGTTTTGTCCCTTTCTTCTATATCAATTAAAAAAAATCTATCTTATTTATTTATGCATACAAGAACTGGGGTGCAAGCCAGAGGTGTGGGGGGTGAGAGGATTCACCTGAAACACAGTGGGAGCAGAACAGGAAGATCTACTGAAACACTGCTGAGGGGAGCAGTGGGCAGGACAAGAGAGGTCTGCTGCACCATGTGGGTCAGCGCCCTGGCCTGGGATTGAACTCAGGTCACAGTGGCTGCATAGCTTGATAGTGCGAGACTTTAACCCCTGCACAACCAGGGAGGCCCCTCCTTTATATCAATTCTTAACAGGTCTTCTTTCCCCAGACTCTCAGCCTAGATGGGAGAGAGAAAATGTGCACTCATTTTTAGGAATTTGAAAAGTGCTAGTCCAGCCTGCATAGGCCTCCAGAATAGTGGTGCAGGACATGTCCCTGGTGCCTGGAGAGTTAGGAAGAGCATGAGTTACCCAAGGTCAAAGTTTTTGCCCATTCTTTTACCACCCATCCCCAGCGTTTAATGCAGGACTTGGCATAGAGCAGGCACTGGGCAAGTATTTATGGACCCCAAATGGAAGAGCCTTGTGGATGAGGGCGTGGGATTGAGATCAGTCTTGAATGATGTGATTATACAATTTCTGCATCACACAATGCAGGTTCAAATCCCAGCTCGATACTAGCAGTGTGACCTGTGCAAGAAAGGAAACCAGTTTATGCCTCGGTTTCTCTACTGATAGGAGTACCTTCACACATCTGTGTGGAGAACTGAAGGCATTCCATGAGCTCTGGGAACAAGGCCCTGGAGCACAGTATGAGCAGGGCCAGGCTTACCCATTTTACCATCATCATCCCCATTGGGAGGAGGGCTGAGCCCTGTGGGTGCAGGGTCCTCTTGGGAGTGGACAGTGAGCTGGTGGGGGGCACCCAGGGGGAGGGACACAGAGGGCACACAGCTCAGCATTTGCCAGGCGCTGCCCATGTGCCAGGCTCTGTGCCCTTCCACTGTCCAGGGTGGCGCAGGTGAAGGCTGGCAGACACCCTAAAGGTGCAGAGCAAAGCCTCTTAGAAAGCAAAGCAGGTGCCCTCAGCATCTCTGCAGTTGCTGATACTGATTTCTGGGTCGCTTTCATCCTGCTTCAGTTTGATGAGTCATCCACCCCTCCCAGCCTCTTTCCTCATGGAATGGGTTGTGGATCCCAGGCACAGTGGGCCTCTCCCTACCTACCCCTTTCTGCCTCCAGCCTGTGGATTCAGGGCCTCAGCTGCCGGCAGAGAAACCATCATCTGAGGCTGGTGATGGCTGAGAAAGCGATAGGACTTCCCCAGGATCACAGAGCTACTGAGTCTAACCAGCAAGTGACTTCACCCCTTGGGCCTACCCTTTCTTAACTGGAAAGGAGCCTGATGAGAATGGGTTGGGGCTTCACTCAGAGCCAGTGGGGCAGCACTTTGGGGACTTCGTGAGAGGAAGGTTATGGACCCTGAATGACGGCACCTCCCCTCCCGGCAGGGCTTGCCTACTGCAGACATCTGTCCACCGTGAGGACCCACCTGTCCGCCCTGGTCAATCACATGATTGTCTCTTCAGACTCACCCTGCGACGCTGGGCACGGGCTGACCGCTGGGATCTGGGAGCAGTACCTCCAGGACAGCACGGTAAGGCCTGGCTGCCCGCCCCTCCCTCATGGGGCTGAGACTGTGGTGCAGGGTCACCTGTCCTCTGAGAAGTGGGGCCACTGCTTGCTGGGACTCGAGGATGGAGTGGCTTCCTTGGGTTCTCTGTGTGCAAGTAGAAGTCCCCTTCCTTGGCCCTTGAGATTTCTAGAGCCATAGCTCTGCCCTTTGGGGTGGTCCAGGAAGATGGAGACTGGGTTTAAGTAAAAACTGACTCAGTCACAGAGCATTGAACTGTTGGCTGCTTGCCTAGTCTGGCACAAGGGGCCGTGAGCCCACAGAATCTCCAGCTGGTCTTCCAATAGCTGTGACTCATTTAAGTCATTCCATGAGAAAACTGATGGAAAAAAACAACCCCTGCCAACGCCAAATGAAAGGTTCAAGGACCTGCTTTCAGTAGACATCACCGTACATAAAGTTACAGTTCCCAAGCCCTCATCACAAGGTGCAGCGTGACCGTGCTGTACGAGAATGACGAGCATGTGAAGTTAGAGCATGCAGCTGGGCCAAGAGAAGCCACTGAGAATGCGCCTGAGATACTTCACCTGGAAAGAGACAGCTGCCTTTTCTCAGAATACAAATGCCCCTGTAAGGAAAGTGTGTGTAAAAAGTGTCATGGCGAGTGTGGGGACAGGTTGAGCAGCATTCTTTGCTCTGTAGGACCTGTCAGAACCTTGCTGTGCTTTTTGCCACACTCCAGGCGTTAGGGGCATGTGAGGGGGATGTGGGTGATTCCCGCTGCTGAAAGGTCCCCTCTTGGCTGGCGGGAGGCACAATTCTTACAAAACAGTGGCTTCCACCCGGACAGGCTGTGGAGGGGCTGCCCGTGTCCTCCGCCTGCTAACTCTGACTCAGTCAGGGGTGCCAGACCCGGGAGCACCAGGCTGGAGAGCAGCGGGTGGACCGGCCGCCCCACACTGGAGGAGGGTGCTGTTTTCTGCATCTGCCTGGGAGCTCCAAGGGGTGGTGCTCTTGGTTTTTTGCTAAGAGCAAAAAACTGGCTCCTGATGGGATCAAAAATGGGAGGGAGGGGGTGCGCGGGACTATGGTGATGGCACACGGGTGAGTGGGTGTTGGGAAGTCCATGGGGATTACAACTGAGATGAAAAGGGCACAAGGTGTGTAAAAATAAACTACCATAATAAAAAAAGTGAGGGAGGAAAAAAAAAACAACAAAAAACTGGAAGAGTAATTTCACTTCTTGCCAAAAATTGTCGTTTTTTTTTTAATTGCAAGATAAATGCCTGCAAGTCAAAAAAGAAAAAATGAAGCATGCAAGTGTACAGAATATTTTTTTAAGATTTATTTGTGCACACGGAACTGGGGTACAGGCCAGAGTGCAGGGGCAGTGAGAGGATTCACCAGAGACAGAGTGGGGAGCAGAACAGGCAGATAGACAAAGTACACTGCTGAGGGGAGCAGCGGGCGGGTCAGGAGAGGTTTCTGCACCATGTGGGTCACTTCCCTGGCTGGAGATCGAACTTGTGACCTCGTGCTGAAGCAGCTGTGGCCAGCTTCATAGTGCTGCACTCCAACCAGTGAGGGCCTGTAGTTGACTTATCTTTCTGTACTAGAGCTTTTATTTTGAGAGTAGATTCCTAGAAATAAAGTTAACTGGTGAGCATTTAAATTTTAAATACATATGCCAGCTTATTCTCCTAATTCCCAGAAGCCTGCAGGAGTGCACATTTCCTGAAGAATTTCAAAGATTTATAGACTTCTGGGCTCTGCTCCAATTTGACTGATTAAGCTACTGAGAGTAGAACCCAGGAATTTATGTTCTTTGAAAGTTCCCCAAGTGCTTCTAGTGATCTCCCTAATTTAAGAGGTGCTAGTCTAAATTTACTATTAGTCAAAAACAAATAATTTTCATTTGTAATCTCTTTGCAACCTATTTGACCTTGTTTTCACCTTAATGACATTGTTGAAGGTAGACTGAGGTTCGGCTGAGCTATAAAAACTAATAGTCCCTGCTCTTTCAATTACTTGACACTCTGGAGGTGTATTCCTCACTCACTTAACCTGCCTGGTAAGTGGACCTCTCTTTTCCTTCCATTCGTGGGGCCCCACCATCCTCCAGGAGTACAGGGCCATCTCTCTCCAGCCATCAGAAGAGAAAATAGAGTGTGCAGAGGACACTCTTAAAGACCTGGGCTGGGAATGACTTGCATCCCTTCTCACACCCCATTGGCCAGAACCCAGCGACATGGCCTCACCTAACTGCAAGGGAGTCTGGGAAGCGGAGTCCGGCTGTGGCTCTGTGTCCTCTGGGAGACGGGGGACATGGATTTTGATGGAGAGTGTATGGCCCTGGCCACAAATAGATCTGAATTTTAAACAGCTTTCACAACGCTGTCTCCACAATAAGGATCAAAATTCTCAGCAGGGACAAAAGAAGGGCAAGTTTTGCCGTTGTGGTGGGGTACACCGAGGGCTAGCGTGAAGATGGGAAGGAGGCGTCTCATTCGGAGATGTGATGTAAAGACATGGTTTACAGAGAGGAAAGCCTTCTGGCAGGTACTGGCACTCACACACAAGCCCCTAATTGCAGACATGCACATGCCCACATCCCTAATGGCCACCGCGAAGCTTTTGCCTAAAGATTAATTTTAAAAAGAAAGTAGACAAAGTCCAGTGCATAATATAGCCAGTAGCTCTTGAAGACATCCTGGTTGTGCACGAACATTGTTAGTGTGTGAAGAATGAGGAGGAAATGTTCATTTTGAGTTAATTCACTGTAGAACACAGTGCACAAAACTTACTAAAAATTAAGTAGAAATGTTCATGCATTGTCTACCTGCCTTTTTCGTTTTTTATCTCACGAGATGCTCTACGTGTTATTTTGCTGTGCGTGTTGTTTTTTTTTTTTTCACCTAATAGCACACACTGAACATCTTTTTGTGTAAGTTCTCATAGACGCAACTTCTGCTTTTGTTCTGTGCGGTATTTCCAGATGCGCTGCTCCCCGCCTGGTGGGTGATGGGAAGTTCTGGGATTCTGAGACAGCGTCTGGGCCCCCGCTCGCTCACACGGCGATCTCTGCGGGTTGGGTCTGAGAAACGGGACTGTTGGGTCAGAGCTCATCCCTCGGTTTTCTTTAACCAGATTCATTGCTTCCACCCACCAGAGTTACGAGGAGCAGGAGCTGCTTCGCCTCATTTACTATGGGGGCATCCAGCCTGAGATCCGCAAGGCTGTGTGGCCTTTCCTCCTGGGCCACTACCAGTTTGGAATGACAGAAACAGAAAGGAAGGAGGTTGGTTTCCCTCTCTGCCTTTTGTTGCTCTTGGCAACAAAAGGAGCCAGCATTGTGCAGCTGGGGGGGACCTCTGGTCCCAAACTGGGCCACAGTGGGGTGCGAGGTGTGGGGGAACCAGGAAGCTGGGAGCTGTCTTGTCCAGTGGAAGTACTGTGCAAGCAGCATGTCATTTTATTTTTAATTTTTTTTAAAGATTTATTTATTCATATGGAACTGGGGTACAGGCCAGAGATGTGGATGGCGAGAAGATTCACCAGAGACAGAGTGGGGAGCAGAACAGGCAGATCGATGAAGTACACTGCTGAGGGGAGCAGTGGGCGGGTCAGGAGAGGTCTGCCGCGCCATGTGGTCACCTCCGGGACAGGCGGGGATCGAACTCATGCGAAAGTGGCTTTAGCTTCCCAGTGCAGTGCTTTAACCCACTGCGCCACCAGGGCCCAGCATATGTCATTTTTTAAAATGGCATTGAAAAACATATTTTTTAATTTTTAAGCTTTGTATTTTGAGACTGTTAAAGATTCACATGTTGGTAGAAATAATGCTGTGAGAACTCATGGAGCCTTTATCCAGTTTCCTCCTACAATAACATCTTGCAAAACTATAATACAATATCACAACCAGGGCACTGACAATACGCCCATCTTGTGAGACTTTGCAGAGGGAGGAAGAAAGGAACAATCAAAAGAAAGAAATAGCCTTGCTCATGCTTGGGGACTGCAGGGCCTAGCCCGGGCTGAGCACCTCAGCTGCTCAGTGCTGTGTGGGCTGCAAACTCTGCAGACGTCAGACGTGTTTCCAGGGCCCACAGCCGCGGGGCAGAGCCACTGCTGCGGGCTGGGCTGACTCCCACAGCGCTTCTGACCTTGCTTCTGCCCTGACAGGTGGACGAGCAGATTCACGCTTGCTACGCACAGACCATGTCTGAGTGGCTGGGCTGCGAGGCCATCGTGCGGCAGAGGGAGCGGGAGTCCCACGCCGCTGCCCTGGCCAAGTGCTCGTCAGGGGCCAGCCTGGACAGCCACCTGCACCGGATGATGCACCGGGACTCCACCATCAGCAACGAGGTGATGGGCAGCTCAGTCAGGGTGCATGGGCAGCGGTGAAGGCCAAGGTCAGATGTGTAGGAAAGATGAGCGTGGGGCAGGGTGCCTGGGGTCTTGCGGCAGCCTCACTCAGGCTTTTGGTTGGAAGGTGACATGGGAGTCAGACAAACCTGAGTTTGAACACCAGCCCCTCCGTGTCCAAGTGCTGGGGCCTTAAGTGAGCACCTTTATTTCCAACCCTCAGTTTCCTCATCTGTAAAATGGGAATGATCATTCGGTAGGGAGACTGTGTGTATAAAGTGCCTAGCCCAGTGCCAGTGTCCAGTTTATTGAATGCAGCTTACCACATGCCTCCTGTGTGCCAGGTTGGTCAGGAATGTCCTGGGCTGGCAGAATGCTCCCGTGACCACCCAGATATGTCTGTCCTCACAGAGCCTCTGGTTAGCATCCCAAGCAGGAGTTCAAAAGAAAGCCAGTTCTCCTGACCATGCTGTACCAGTCACCAGACACCACAGTGACTCGGCGCAACAAACAGCCCCCCCAAAGTCAGTGGCTTTTTGTTCCTGAGTCTGCGGGTCTGGGTGGGCACGCTCTGTGCCGCCCTCAGCCGTTCAGTGGGAAGGTGTCTTGAGCTTGGCTGGGCTCACCACGGTCTGGGGTGACTCTGCTCTGCTCCTCATCTCCAAGAGGCCAGCCCGGCTGTTCATACAGTGAAAGCAGATTCTAAAGCATCAAAGCAGAAATACAGAAGCACTTGCTACAGCTCAGCCCGCTGGCTGAAACTGGCCACTTGGCATGGGGCAGGCAGAAGCTACAAGTTACAGGCGAAAGGCATAGAGAGGGTAACGCTGCTGTGAGCGCAGTTACTCTGAGCTGGGCTACATGTTAAAAGGCCCCGTTCAGGGTACAGAGCAATCAAAGATGGGGTTCTGTGTTTGGAGGGATGGGAGGTGGGGCCCCAGTGGCTGGTGCGGCCTCTGAGGAGGCCCCAAAGAGTGGGATGTGAATCGCCACCATGACCCCATTTCATTTCACAGATAGGAAACAGGCCCTCAGAGGGGTCTTGCCCCAGACAGGCATCGAGCGGAAACCAAACTTCCTGGCCCCCAGCCCCGCCGCCCCTCTTGAGCTAAGTGCAGGGACCTGAGCCAGGACGCAGCCTCACAGGCTCCCCGCTCCTTTTCCTCTCAGTCCTCCCAGAGCTGCAGTTCTGGCCGCCAGAACCTCCGCCTGCAGAGCGACTCCAGCAGCAGCACACAGGTGACTCCCGCCCCGCCCCGTGCCCTGGAGAGCCGTGGGAGGGGCCGTCATCGGCAGCTCATTTGTGGCTTATGTTGTAGCACTAGAAATTGGGTTTTAAGTTATAAAAAGAATATGTGACTCTATACCCGCTGGAAAAAAATTAAAATAGTGCCAAGAAAGCCAGGTAGGCTTTGACTATCTCTAAACCCCATGGGCCCTCCTAGGAGACAGCACTCCTGTCATCTGTTTGCTATGTGTCCTTCCAGAGCATTCTGGTGGTTTTACATGCAAAACATGTGCAGACACTGTGTGGCAGATACAATGTAGTGTTGGCAGTCTTTTAATATCCCGGCATAAATGCCTCAGGTATTGTTCAGTGGTTTTCCATTTCATTCAATAAAAAGAAATATTAATTGTTTCATTCAGTATTTAAAAAGCAAAGTGAGGGCCTCCCTGGTGGCGCAGGGGTTAAATCTCAGCACTATGAATCTGTTGGCAGCCACTGCAACAAGAGATCTATCTTGGGTCAGGGAGCTGACCCACAGGGCACAGCAGACCTCTCTTATCTCCCCGCTGCTCCCCTCAGCAGTGGATTTCAGTAGATCTGCCTGTTCTGCTCCCCACTCTCTCTCTGATGAGTTCTCTCATCTCCCCCACCTCTGGTCTACACCCCAGCTCTTGTATGCATAAGTTAAATAAAATAATTTTTTTAATTAAAAAATAAAAAACAAAGTGTAAAGAATGTACATATTTTATAATCTTTTATATAAAAAGGGGAGGTATTCATGTGCATGTCAGTTGCATTTACTTCCATAGACAGTAAAAGAATCCACCAAAATGCATCAAAATAGAGAAGGAGGAAGCCAGAGAAGCTGCATTTTCCTGAATATATTTGTTTTGGGGTTTTAAGTTTATAGTTAGGGCAATTTTTTATGTCAATTAAAGCAATTGAATCAATTAATTAAAAAATTTAAACTTCTTACTAAAAAGCAGAAACACATGAAGTTAATAGTAAATCAAATTGCTGGCGTAACTACACAGAGAAGGAATATTTCAAGTCACCTTGGAACATGGGCTGATGCTGTTTGTCCTTGGTGGGATATAAGCTCAGGGCTCAAAGATGCACGAGTGAATGTTCGACTCCTCTGTATTTCTGTATTTGACACCTCTTGAAGTCACTCCATAATAGTTAACCACAGTAATACATTGATATTTTTTCAACCTGTTTACATTTTAAACTCATTTTTTACTTAAAAACTTACATGTATGTAATTTTATAGGATAAAAGTTACTCCTCCCATTTTAACTCCTAGTACCTCTCCCTCAGAGCTAACTGCAGTGCTTCCTTGTTTCTTTCTGGATTATTCTGTACATTTCCATGCTTATGAGTCACGTTTTATTTTTTACAAAAGGAGCGAGTACATATTCCACCTTGTTCTGACTCCTTTTCATTTATGTCTATTCCCCTGCATGCACGCTGGTGAGTGACAGGGCTGGGTTGGCGCTGTGGGCAGCAGTGGCGTAATGACACACACCGTCATGCAGGCGGATAAGGGGAGCTACCCCGATGGTGTGACCTGCTGCACACCCAGACTGTGCTGCTACAGACCGAGGCCTGCGGGGACCCCTGTCATCCACACAGTCTGTCACCCACTGAGGTGTCATTACGTGACACGTGACTGTTGGCACCAGTCTCCTGTGGGCGTTTAGGCTGCTGGTGGAAGCAGTGTCACACGGACACACTGGCCCACCTGTCGCGCGCCCTGGCC